GACAGATGGTTTATTTACGTTTGGAGGATTGGACCTTTAAGTAAGGTTGTAAATCAAATTCACAAAGCTTCGTCGTGCAGCAAGTCATTGCAGAGGTCCCACTTTCTCACCTCACGCTCTCACTCGTTTACTGCTGCAATCTGCCTTCATAAAATAAGGATAAAAATCATTTACAGCTGAAGAAGGTCAAAAAAGACTGGACAGACATCTGGTAGATTGAAAAGCCCTAATGTGTTGTTAATATACTACATATATACTACATTTAACTATGAAGAAATCAAGTTAAAAATGACTGTAGGAGGAATAGAGAATATAGGTGCATGTATGTCTGCAAAATGGTCGATTATTGAGAACCCAGTCAATTTACAGCTGGGAAAACTAACAACAGCATCCAATCTGTCTTTTCCTCTGAGCTCAAAATGAATACAAACAATCATTTGAGAACACAGTGTGACTTGTCAATAAGGGGTTAGGCATGCACTCCAGCAGTCCAAATAACTTTTCCTTCCCTGGACCTTCTTAGAGCTCAGGAAGTCACAACATAGCTCGGTTAAAGTAGAATAAAAGAGGAACTTTGAGGCAAGTTGGCCTAAAGTTGTATTTCTGTGGGACAGAGTGTGGGTGCCAGGACAGAGTGTCCGATGGTGGGGGAAACCAGGGCAGGAGAATCCCTAATGGACTCCAGGATCCCTGGAAACCTGGGTGAGGAAGAGAGGAGAGGAGAGGAACTTCTGAAAGCTAACTTCTGCACTTTCAGGGATCAGCGTATAAAAAACAGGTGGAACACGAGGAGGAGGACAACGGAGTGAGGGAAAAGTAGGAGGACGTTCCAGAAAAGGAGGAGAGTGAGGTATAGGGAGAGAGGATGAGTGAGATGGTCGACCTCGCGAAGTGGCGGAAGCAGTAGAAATAGCTGCCCCACTTGTAGACACACTTTCTGTTGCTAGCTGCCTGTCCTGGATGCACTGGGGTAGCTAACCTATATAGGCCTGCTCCACGTCGCAGCATCTCCCACACACTAACACACACACACACACAGTCTTTCTCTCACACACACACACACACACACACACACACACACACACACACACACACACACACACACACACACACACACACACACACACACACACACACACACACACACACACACACACACACACACACACACACACACACACACACACACACAGGAGGGGGAGGCTAAAATCAGGCCGCACATGCTGTAGCTACTGCTGAGTTAAGTCACCTGTGTTGCTAGCCTAGCTTGCTAGCGGGCAACCAGCTGGTCCTCTAATTAAGAGCCCATCTACTCAAGAGGCCTGAGCATATGGAGGACTCTATAGCTAGGTACTGGTTTTATAATGGATAGCAAAGCCATACAGTGGAGTACTGGCCAGACTTCTAAAGCTGGACGTATTGGGAGGATAAGGTTATTGCGGTCCTGAGCAGATACGACGCATTAAAGGAGATTGGGAACACTACAATACCACCAATATACTTCCAAGACTTTGAAACAGTGATAAGACAGTATATTTGAGTATTGCCACTTTCGTTTTTTAATGGACTGTACGTCTGATATGCTGATATCATGCTGTTTTCCACCTGCTGAGTAGATGAGACACTTAGTGGCACTTCTTGAATTCAAATGATTACCAGCCAATTAATCAAACCACTTCACCTCAGAGAGGTGATATAATTGAGTGAATCATCAAAGATGAAATCTCTCCTCATATATACGGTACTGTAGGAGTGAAGGCAGAGCATCTCACTCACTACCCTCCTGGTGAGGCAAATCAAGGTGAAATTTGTTTTAATTAAATTAATTGAAATGAATCAGAATGTCAGAAAAAAATTACCATAATTGAGGGTATCAAACAACTTAAAAATCTGTAACTTCTCAATACACAGTCCAGTTTTTCTCTGGGCTTTTGGTCCAGAAACTGGACTATACCGTAAACTGGACTTTTAGTAATTAAAGGGACATTGTGTAGTGTTTTAAGTATTTCATTAGCTAAAATCAATGTCTTCATTCATAAATGTGTCTTCATTGGTGTAAAATTACCTCTGCCAATGATCTGACCTCGAAAGCGAAGCATTTCTTATCTGTATATACATTGGATGGGCAAGTCCATGGTGGCTTCCATGTTGAATCATACTTATGCCGAGCCACAGGAGAAGGAATCCTCGTCGCCAAAAAAAAATGAAAAAGGGAATTAAAAGGGCAACGTGACCGGCGAATTAAAAAAAACGAGGGTAAACATCGGGGTAGCTTTTTCAGGTGGAAAGAGCTAATGAAGGAGAAAGACTTTCAAAGGGACGCTGAAGTTGCCTGCTTTCTCCTCGACAGGTAGGCTTCTTGGTATATAACGGCTACCGCAGTTGCAATACGCATTTGAAAATGCGAGGCACTAGAGAGCACTATTTGTTTGAATGCAAAATAGAATTTCACCGCTAGATGGGAGAAATTCCTACACAATGTCCCTTTAAGCAAACGTAGTAGTTTAACTAAATGCATGCTCTGTTAGTGGCATCGCCATACTAATGTACAAATAATGTCATGTGAGGCATGACCATATAAAAACACACTAACAACCACAATATTGTGTGAATTATAATGTCTGAGGCATAAACGCGACCTATTTGACTGAAGTTACTTTGACACTTTCAGCAGCATTTTTATTGACTTTGCTGTCCAAGGCCACGACTAATGGCTGCTTCACAAAACAAACACTCGCTCATACACTTCCATAGGCAGACACACTAGGCAATGACAAAAACATTGGCACGCATACAAATTTTGCACACTAACACATACTGCACACACAAGCCCACATCTTTGCTTGCTTTAGCCTCCAGTACCAACATACAATTATGTTAGGCCATTTCAGGCTTCATTATGAGAAATGCATTAGTCAGTGATGGCAAATGGAATACAGCACAGACATAACTAAGGTTGCGTGTGTGTGTGTTAATGTGTGTGCATGTGTGAGAAAGTTGTAGAGAGAAAGAAACTTTAGGCATAGGGAAAGAAAAGATAACAAAAAATGATGACAGTTATGGTAAAATTATAGGATTCAGGGCAGTAACTTGAAGCAGACGCAGTCAGCAAAGTGGCATTTTTCTGCGGTATAGTGAGGTGTGTTCTTTGCCTGAACCTGTTTTGATGACTTGTCGTGCGCTGCACAGTCAAAGTATGGAGGTGTCACTAGCAATCCAGCATTTCACCGCAATTTTGGTGTCAAGTTTCCTTGTTTTATTGCTGCTTCAGTCCACCTTTGTGGACTTGGTCAAGAGTGCACTGCTCAAAGTGCACCTACAGTAAATCTGTGTTATTTGAATTTTAGTTGGTGGGAACACGACCCACACGTTATATTTCTGTTCTATAATAAATCTAGCAAGGTAGAGTAAAGATTAATGTCTGGTTCTTACCAGCAACTTTTATCCACAACAGCTTGCATATATACTGTACAGGCCTATCCATTTAGCTGATTGACTCTGTTTATTACCATCTGAGGACAGTAGGTACAGAATGTGTTCTATTTGTAGTCTCTAATTTGATTGGTGCACATTGTTAAAGCATATATAAACCAGATCCAATGTGAACACCTTAACCTGATCTTGTTCTGACACAGGTCCACACATCAAACTTGTCTGTGATGGTTCATTATTTTATACAGGCTGCAAGATTATAAACTTAAAAACTCATGACAGGTTTTGGAGGCAATGACACTGTCAAGATGAACCGAACAAGCAAAGTTTACTTAGCTCCATGGAAAATTGGAAGGCAATAAAACCCTAATTTCTCTCCAAGTCAGAGAAAACACTTCAGACCATTGTTCACTTCCTCGTTTCCAAATGTAGCACCTGAAGCTTTGCACTTTCAGTGGCAAAAGACCTGTGGCTGAATGAACAACATAATGTGGTAAAGCAGAATCATATCTATTAATTTACCTGTGCTAGTTTATTTTAAAGTTACTGACCCTCCTCAGGATTCTTTACTCCATTGCAAAACCGTAACTTTGTACTATACATTTTATAGAACCAGCGCAGGTAGAATTACACTGCTGCTCATGCAGGCACTCACAGTTCTGTGTAGCCAATAACTGAAGTTAACAGTAATGGAAAATGGAAAAGTAATTTGGTGTTCTGCAACACATACATGATCATCCACATAGGGGAAGTTTTATTTCTCTTGTGTACAAATAATGCATTCATTTTGCACTTGACATTGTATAAGTAACGTCAAACATTATCTGGTGGGTGAGTGTGCTGTGTGCATTGTGTGCCTCGCTCACACAATGACACTGCTTTCCCCCGTTTCTTGCCAACTTTATACACAGCAGGATTAAAGGTATAAAATAACTTTCTGAGGAGAGGATATGAAAAAGGGTTTTTAAAAGAAAGAAACAAGAAACAAAGAAACAGACCCCAAACCCTGCTCCTGTTTCCGCTACGAGCAGCCATTTTTAGACAGTCATCCATTAAGTCTGCTGCGTTCCCATACTGTCAGCCCCTAGTGAAGCCAAAGAGGCCATGTCAACTGAGGGCGTTAGGCAGGCAGGCAAGAAGGAAGCAGCACAGAACCCTCTCTCTGCACCGTGGGAATTGGAGGAAGGACGGGAGGGGGAGCAGGTAGTGGACTATAATATGAATGTCACTGCAGTACAGCATCTTCAGAAAGAGTAAGATGGATTAGAGCTCTAGCTCAATGTGAAAAGATGTGCTTAAAGAGGTGGGAAAGAAAAGAAAGAAGGGCTGGTAGCTGTGGCTCAGCATAAAATACATTGCCACAGACAGACAAGACAAGAGCGTATAGAGAGAAAAGGGGCTTGCGATCAAGATTTTTGTTAGAAATTAGCTTCATTTAGTGATATGTAATCTTACAGACTCAGGCCTTCTTACATAAAGCACATTTTCAGGGCTAGAAGTGCACAATGCATTGTTTGTGTCTGACAAAGCGAGCGGGAGCGGGTGTGTGTGGTCTGTGTGTATCTCACCTCTGGCCCCATGTGTTCTGTCTGTGTTGTGCGGTCAGTCATTTGGCAGTCTTTCATCTTCAGGGCAGCTTTGGCACTCTCCTGCATACAAAACAAACACACACCCATCAGCCGTGTCCAAAATCTCATAAAGAAAGAACATCAAATTCGAATAAATCAGAACAACTAAATGCTCTCCCAGCAGACGTATGCCTTGCCGCCACTCCCAACACTTAGTACAGTTGGCGTCCATGCTTAGCTAGCTATCAAAAGAAAAGAAAGAAAAAAATGCAACTCTAAACAACTTCACCACCTGAATCCCTTCCTCCCTTTCGGCTGCTTCTCCAGGAAATCCAAGAGGTCATAAAACTGTGCTGAATTGCGGAAGAACTTTTTCTACAGCCAAATGTTGGAGCAGGGGCCCTCCTCAAAGTGCACCAGCAGAGAAGAATTCATAAAAAGTGACAGCTAGTGCTGGCCAGCCTGCTAAGAAAGGTCCTTCTAGGAGATAATTAATAGGTTTCCTCTGGCAGATTTACAGACGGAGGTGTAGAGAGAAAAGTGTTGGCCCAGTCCTTCAAAATACAGCCCTTTTACCTTGACCAGGAACCTGCCGTCTCCCGTGTTACCTCTATGTGATTATTTTGAAAAGGCAGGTCGCAAGTCCTCTGCATGCGAAGAACCCGGCACCATTTCCACCGGGAGCATTTTATGACGATGTCACTAATCATTCTGACATGCTCGCACTACACTGCTCATGGGTAGGGGAACAGAATGGGTTGAGAGTTGCGGTGGCTATGAAATATTGAGAAATTCATTAACCTTGATTTAAAATTAATCAACCAAACCAAGACAAGGTGTAAAGGATGGGTTAATGGTAAGGAGAATGAAAGAAAGTTAATAAATGACATAGCTCTAAAACCCAAATATATACTGTAATATATACTGTCTTGTTGAAATCCAGCAGAAGCGAGGTGACAGATCGAGTTAAAAATCTGTTTTCATTAGTCATGCCCATGCCTACATGAAAAGCAAGGGAGGCTTTCCGCAGCTAAATGTTGCAGTTGGAGCACGGTCCTTCAACAAAATGCACCAGCAGAGAGAAGAGAAAACTCATAAAAAGTGACAGCTAGTGATGGCCAGCCAGCTAGCAGGTCCTTCTAGGAGATAATTAATAGGTTTTCACTGGCAGATTTACAGACGGAGGCAGAGCGAGGAGAGCGTTGGCTATGAGCTGCCCTTTCCTGCACTTTAACTTAGCTGCGGCAGGCACTGTATCCCTTTTAGACTCTCACACATGGACACATACACACCCCCACAAATGTTCTCAAGCACAGCATGGCCCCACAAAGGCGCAACTTTATGCATTTGAAGCAGTGACAGAAGGACCTTTGTTCCAAGGGCATATGGCGCAGATAAAAATAAGGTTAGGCTGTGGTCGCAGCAAGGATACAGGATAGTATTAGACAATTCATCAATACACACACCAACCGATATATGCAGGCTTCTGCTCGTAAAAACACACAAGGACTATATGTCTGGAAATCAAATCCGGCAGGAGCCAGAACATCCTTGTCAGAGAGAACTGCCAAACAGATGAATACACATGCACACACGCAAACACACACGTTCAAGGCTGATCAGCATCTGTGTGTGTGTTTGTGCATGCACAAGCAAATCCATGTCCTAAAGACTGATTGATGAATCCATGTGTGATGTGGAGAAAAACATTTGGTGGCTTCAACATGTCACAATATGGGAGAAAGAGAGAGAGGAAAAAGCAAAAAAAAAAAAGATCAGAAGAAGAAAGGAATCAAAGAGAGACAAAGACAAAGTAAAGAGAAGAAGATGATCAAATTGTTTACAGACTCGGAGACTTAAGGGATAAGCCAGGTGATATTCTATATTTTATATTTATATTTTGTTATTATCAACAAATCCTATGAAAAGACCAAAAGCAGCAATGATTTGACTCTACTAACAAGTATTGCTTGTGTAGCCTGATGCAGTGTAGATTCCTCTTTGTCATAGACCATAGAAAAAACATTGAAAACACATCAGTGAGCCACTGTTGCACTGGCTGACATGTTCCTCCATTACCATGAACATGAAAACTGCAGTTTATTTTTGATTAAATCCCACATACACTGTCCTGCTGCTGTAAAAACTCACTTTTGCACCGAATCTGCAACTGGAAATAGTCCCTAACAAGTGCACTATTTTCATTTCCAACATTTGCTTAAAAATACAGTGCATTGCTCTGCCTTGGTCTCCTGTTTCTTATCTCTGAGACAGAGAGAGATTCAGAGAGACCTAGTACTTGAAAGAGACAGCGAGTGAATGTTTGTGCCGACCTGGGGGTATTTTGTCGGTCCTTGGATCAGAACGATAAGGAAATATTAAAATAACACTGCCATAGAGCCACTATGTGTTTATTAATCAGTGATTTTGTGCACCAGCCAAAGAAGTCCCTCATACATTGAGGTGAAATGTATTCTTGTTAATAACCTTCTTGATCACGCTTCTATAATCTTTTGATAATTTTAAATCTTTATCACAGCTAAAAATATAAGATCTAGTCGCCTCCGGACAAATCAATAAACCTGAGCCACTGAAGACTGCCTCAGTGAAATACTATCATCTTAAAAAAAACATAAAAGATCACATTTCTTCTAATTGGCTAATTTAGAGTAGTCCATTTCTAAACTGTTTTATTTAATGAATTCCATTTCCTTGTGAAAGAAAATGATAATTAAATGTAAAACTCATTATAGATTATTACAGGGTGCTGCATGTATTTATCAAAAATAGAACGAACTACAAGAAATCATTTACTGGAATTAAAAAGGTGTTTTAGTGTGCAAGTGTACACTATGTTACATTGCCTGCGGACATGAAATTTTAGAGAGAGAACTTACTGGTAGATGAACTGTTGAACAGTGTCAATAGACTTAATACAGCTCCTCTCTGGGGTGGGTACCGTACAAGAGAAAAGCTGTACCTGTGCATGTCTGAGTGGCCAATTTAAGTCCTCAGGTAAGTCTGAGGCCCCAATAAAAATGTGCTCAATTTTGGTATCAACTCCAGATTGCTGAGTATTACTCACATAGCAAGGGGAGAGAAGGTAGGTGCTATTGACAGGAAGGGAGAGAGAGTGCTATCACAGTCAAAAGAGGACAGGAGACGAAAGACGAGGAGTGAGAGAAATTAGATGCGTGTGCCAGAAAGTGATCAAACAAGCAGATGCCAAATGAGACACAAGTCAGTGGGTTGGACTGGCATCTCTCACAACGGTGCCATAGCACTGGCACATTATCCCGCTAAGCCCAGGCATAATGTCTGTATTACATTGCTTTGATAGAACAGGTGACAAATTACAGACTTGTAGATGACAAACGATGAAAAATACTGCCGTATGGAGCATTTCTGCAGATGATCCAACAATCAGGCTTCCAAAAGTGTGGAGAAAAACACAGACAGCACAATATATTTTGCATATAAATCTCTATATATTTCACGGTATAATTTGGTTATTCCAAATATTCAAACATCCTTGTCTACAGGGACAGATCTATGAAAACATTATACTTCTCTCTTGGCGGCACTGGAGTCCCAATAATTCTGCTATTACATTAAGCTGGCTGGAACAAGCAGTTTACATTAACAAAGATAGAAAAGATGGGCTTTCTGGTGCCACGCCATATGATATTGATGGTGTGAATTGGAGCCAACTATAAAGCCATTCTCACATTCATTTCCTCTCTCCTTCTGTGGTCAGTCTTTCCTGTCACTCCGCCCTCTGCTGTATGTCGTCTCACACGACAGAACATCACAAGAGGAAAGACGTTTTGCTAATTCATGAACAAAAGTAAAACTTTCCTTCTTTTGAAATGGTTTTTTTTTTAACCTTTCTATAAAAGAAGGACTCTATAATGCTTAAAAAGGAATGAAAAACATTGTGCTTCAAAGGCAATTAGTCTTTAATTCATATCGTAAAACAAATAATTTAAAAACATTCAAGCTATTTTAATTATTAATTCCAAAGTTTAGAAAAACAGGAACCAAGAGAAAGGAAGTGTCACAGAGATAAAATTAGATGAGCAAACCTCCCATTTCTCAATGTCTGATGCTATGAGCTGCTTCTCTTATTAGTTACGAAGACTTTACAGCATTTTATAAAATAATGTTTCTTTTTTTTTTATAGAACTAAGAACTATATAACTACTGATGATAAATTAAACCTTTCAATAATCCTAACTTGTGCTCCAAAATAAACCCTTAATCCTTTTATTTTGTCTGGTCAACTTGATCTCAGCACTTCATCAGGAGGACCATATTTTAACTATCCAGAGATTACCATCTAATGACTAAAAGTCATTTTTAAAGTATCCCTGGACAGAAGACTATTTAGTGGTTTAAAAAGAATCAAAATGATTCTACAGTAATGGTACACAAGGGGCACAAGGGAAGTCAGAAATCATTTTAAAAAAAGCTAAAAATGTTTTTGTATTGCATTCACATTTGAACGCAGACCTGCCTATTATTACGTAGAACTGGTGGTTGGTGGATCTTACCAGTTCACTCTGGAGTTTGAGAATCAGTTCGTCTTTCTCCCTCAGTTGTTGCAGCAAGGCCTCTTCTCTGCCAAGATCCTAAACAACAAGTAACAAGACACCATGTTACACATTACTCAGGACAAAGCAGACAGCAGTGATTTATCCGAGGGACCATATTCCCGCAAAAGCAATACATAGAGCCTAAGAGGATGACAACATACAAAAGGTGTGTGTGTGTGAGATTCTCTGGCTGTTCCCATAAATGTTTATGTGTGTTTGCAAGTGTTTTATGTGCATTTATGAGCGTTTGTTGCTGGTCTTGCTAGTGTGAGGGTGCGTGTAATAAAGTTGTCATGTGATGCATGCTGCAGGACTGTGATCTCCTCTTCTCTCTACGTCTCTGTGATAAACTTGCCGTGTCCTATGGCGAAGCCCTGGAGCACACGGCACTTTAACATGACCTTGTGTTGTCAGGGGACATTACTGTAGGGGAAGATGGAGAGGACCAACGGAGACAGAAGACAGAAGAGGGAGGAGAATAATAATACTAACAAAAATAACTTTCTTAGGGCACCTTTCAACAAAACAGTTCCGGAGTTCTTCATAGTTTTAAATTAAAATGTGTTTGATGTTTATGTTGTTTGTCTCATCTATTCGCGGCACAAATTAAGTTCCTCAAGTAAAACTATTTGACGTGACTTGTGTTTAAAAAAATACTGAAGTGAAAACAGCAAATATTTAAGTCTGCCAACATAATTTTCACTGTCAGGCCCAGCCATCTTTAGACCTTGGCTGAACTGACAGCAAAAAGGGCAGCTGCCAAAGCATCTCAGGCTACACACCAGCTCACAGGGAGGTTGAAACTCAGAAATCTAGCTGAGCTCCAGACATAGCAGTTTTCATTAAAATATTTAACTTAATTCTAAAAGAGTTAGGTAGATAAAATGTGGGCAGAGAGCAACACAGAGAAAAGGAGAGATCCTTCTGTGTTGCTCTCTGTCCACAAAAAAGAGAGAAAAGGAGGAAAGAGTGAGAGAGAAGGAGCGATACGATGGAGAGAACATCATGACAGCCAGATAGACAGACAGACAGACAGACAGACAGACAGACAGACAGACGGACGGACGGTCATTACCTCTTCAAGGACATAAAAGCAGGAGAGAAAAAGAGGGGCAAGATAACAGGAGGAAAATGAGGGGGGAAGCATGAGGAAAGGGGGACAGTGATAGAGAGATGGAGAGGACAGAGAGGGCCTGGGGCTGAGCATGATGGTCGGAGACCATGGGGAGCCATCTAGCTAAAGGACAGACAGAGAGTCAGAGGGAGACCACAGGGAACCATATAGCTACAACACCGTCCTTAAAATGACCTCTCCGATGCAAGCACAGACAGCTAGCCTCATATCATGATTCAGAAATACAAAAACGTAACTTGTACATGAGTGTGTTATATGATTATTGTTACAATGTCTTAAAATTGTTTTGTTTTTAAATCACTAGAAGAAGCAGAACAAATGTTATATTGGCTGCATGATAAAGACACTTGTTGAGTGTAGTGGGAGGCTGATTCAGTTCAGAGTTAAGTGTACTCAAGCATGGCATGTTTTCTGAGTCTAACATCTTATAATCCAGATGTATCTTCATAAAGAAATACTTGGTTATGGTCTTTGCTCAGCAAGAATGAGATCGCACATTGTGTTTTCTTGGTTTCTCACAATCAAAAAGTGAATACAAAAATGGGAGCTTGACAGAGAAGTTTAAACAGCATAGGATCCTTAGAGCAAACACACAAGAGACTTCTGCCGGCTGAGAGCGTCCAAGCCTCTACCTTCCAGTTTAGCCCACTACTAACTAGAAGGGGGATTTAATCGTCCATCTCTTCTAGACTTTCCAAATGTTATCAGACCAAATGGATCAAATTCTGAAACAAGTCATTTCACAGAGGTTGTGATTCTGAAAGAAAATGTATCCACCGTTATACAGCAACTTCTTTCACAATGTAAGCTTATGGGGAAAAAAGTATTTTGGGGCCAGTGTGCATTACTTGACGGATGACATTGCTGTAACTACACGGTTTGAGCTTTGTTGTTGTAACACTCCACAAGAGGCTGAAGTGGACCACTATCCCCGTTCTGAATGGGACTAAAAGTTATTTTAGTCCTGTGTTTGTTCTTTCACAGTTGAGTTTTGGTTTCTCATTCTCAATTTCTCTTCTCTGAATTTCTTGCCAAAAGAAAGCCATGAGACGTGACAGTAATTTTACATAACTTGCTAACACGCTACATATGTACCCTGTGTTCCACCTGTTTCACAGATGAAATAAAATTTGAAAAAAGGATCTCCTGGAAAAGCCTTATTTCTCACCTATTCTTAGGTCACAAACACAGGGAAAAAACAATTAGATTTAGAAAATGGATCACCAGAATTTTTTCTCACTTGGCTCTCAGGGGTCCTGTAGCTTACAGCAGGAAAGACAAAGTAATATCATAGCAGGCTATATATTTTGTAAAGTAAATTTAATACCTTCTGAGGCCACACCCTAGACATTTGACACTGGAAAGGTGTGGGGGAAGGAGGTTTCAACCACTGCTCGGCCATTGGAGCATTGGTTTGAGCATTGTTCTGCCCTAAATAGTTAGTTTCTGAAAAAGTGCCTTACACTAATACCAATAAACACTTACCACCCTCACTTGACAGCTAAAGAGGTAGTGATGGCCATGTTTCACAATTTACAGGAATTATAAAGGCCAATATACTAAGAATCTGCAAGTGTCTCAAAAAGTTTTGATAGGTTTTGTTTTCTGGCTTCCTCATTTTACAGGTCTAATTGGTGTCTGGCGGCTTTACATGAGAACAAGATAATGGTCAAGGAAGACAAAGCTAAAAGCTTTGCTAAGTGCTTCCATAGTGATAAAACCAAGATTTCTTTTTTTCCCCACTAGAAAATAGAAAAACAATTAACAAAAACAAAACCCAGTGGTATTGAATCAGAGTGGACTCTGTTAACCTGGCTTTACAGGGGAGATACCAGTATTTTTTTTCCACACACACACACACACACACACACACACACACACACACACACACACACACACACACACACACACACACACACACACACACACACACACACACACACACAACACAGCACATAAATTACTAACATAAGACTTGGATGGGACTGAAAACCACTAACATGCTGTGACAATTACTACATTAGTCAGCCTCTAAAATTAATCTCACCCGAATAGGACTGAAGGCTGTTCTAAATGAGCTGTCTGGCTACAACCGCACAGTGTGCCTGCATCTGTGCCCTGTGTGCGTGTATGCCACTGCATGTCAGTAGTTGTGTTTCAAATGTTCTGAGCAGGCTTATGACTAAATCCATGCAGACTTTATTGACTTGTGTGGTTTGTTTACGGGTTAGATGAGACCATAAGAATGTAAACAGCAAAAAAAGCAAAGGAGATGGGTATAAGCTTTGAGAGAAATACAGAAGATAATGTGCTTCATCTAGGCCATGCTGAGTTCAATGACAAGGGACTGGACAAATGCTCTTCTGACCTCAATGTGATGATCTATAATTTAAAAAATTCTAACTTTGTTGTCCCTTGGCTCAAATACACAAGCAGCCATACTATGTACAACCCTGCAAAAAATATCTGAAAAGAGGAAAACATTTACAAAACTGAAGCTAAAATAATACTTGACTGCTGAAAGAAGCACCACAGTGTGCATTAAGTCACCCATCAGGTGGCATTCCAACCAATTTTTCAAGGCTGAATTGAATGGAAAAGGCTGAGGAAGAAAAGTAGGCCATGCAAATTTGTTTCTAATGTGATTGGAATGGCCTCAGAGGGGATAAATCTGATCAAAATCATTGGAGTGCATCCACTTTATGTGATTTTGTATAGAAGTTGAGGCCACTCTATGCTAGCAATCAGCAGCAAGTTGAAGAGGGTATGAAGATGGATCACGTTTCCCTTGTTAGAGGAAATTATTCAATTTGTTAACTTTTATTGACAAACACAAATTTGAGAAAATGTGAGGATTGTTTAGATATTAATACAACAGCCCACTTACTCCAATTGTTTTAACAATTCTTGAAATCTGGGAAAGGGGTGTGAGGAAAAACACATAATTAAATTCATTCTCCTTATGTTTATATCAATTTACCCAACATCAATCTATAGCTTTGCACCTCTTAAACCACAAGTGCTTGTGACTTGAAGGGACTAGAAGGAATGTAAAACGGTATAATCATCTTCAACATACATTCCTGGAGTGTGGGTACATTTTAAGCTACCAGTAGAATACCCTATATGGCCATGACAGTGCCTCCTCAACAATTTCACTTCCAGCAGGATGACAACATACAACCGTGTTTGGAGGTGTTAGCAATAACTATATTAAACTTAACCAAAAAAGTACAGAAAGAAACAAGAACAAAACATAAAAGGCTGATCTGAAACAAAGATAAGCTTTAAAGTGCTATTTAAGGGTCTCCGAAGTATCCTAAGCCCAAAGGGAAGCAGTTTCTGTGTTGTGGGCAGCTGTTTCAAATGCTCAATCACCTAACTAACAGACAAGACTTCTTGAAATAGGTATAAGAATGAATATAGAGGAATAACCTTTTCTGAGCCCATTTTCATACATATTACACATATACGTCTTCATATATACACACCACACATTGTTCCTTGTATTCAAATTGCAAATGACTAAATATAGTCCTGACCATGTTTGCCAGTGTGTCAATTAAGCAATTTTTAGAACTGCTTGATTTTCAGTGTGGTGCTAATGGACCCCATTGTCCCAAGCGCACTGAAGAAAAGAAAATGGAGGAGCAACTCACAGCTTGACAAATGGGAAAGAAAAAATGTTGGTTTGAGCAGCAGAAGCCACTTACAACACAAAGCAAAAGAAATGCCAAAATCTGTGGCATTTAACTAGTGTTTTGTGATTTAAATACTGTATTTTTTAAATCTGAAAATAGGTCCTAAGAAAGGGTCATTTTCCAAACTGTCTGATTTATGTCTATTATCACATTTCCAGTTGGTACAAAATGCTAAAGCACTTTACTTCTTTGTATACTAA